CGAAGGAGCTTGGGACTAAACCCACGGTCTTCTGCTCAGTAAGCAAAAACGTTTGCCACTAGGCAGACGAGCACCATTTAATCACCGAGTTGCTGTTATTACCATGTAGTCATATTAACAATTAAAACGATTGACGAATCTTGAATGTGGATGGGCCTGAGATTAGAGACTCATGATGTTCTGCTCAGTAAGCAAAAACGGTTGCTCTAAGGCCACCGAGTCCCTCATATCACATAATACCGTTGCTCAAATTGTTGTATCCATTCAAACCCGGAACCAACGACAACAACGAGTTTCGCAAAATACACGAAACACAAGCGATTTTACCATAAATCTCTTTGATATGTAAGGACCTGGGACCGCGTTTTTCTGCTCAGTAAGCAGGCCACTGTAACCGACGATCTTTCAAATCCGAAAACTGAAAACTACGAAAAAGTACTTAGGCTTTCATTAAGTTCCACTTTCACGCGACGTTCAATGACAGGGTCCTATCCAGGATTACATCTGAAAAATCCAAATCTGGCCAACGCCCACCTAAATCTGTTCTAATCCACCTGAAATGACTAACGAATGGAAGACTTTGACTACCCAGCCATGCAATAGTCTCATTCCGTGCCTTATGGCAACTTGATGATTCTATTGCGCTCATCTTTTGGCACAACCCAGGGGAGACTTGGTCCTGTACCCAATGCTTAACTTATCTCCATTCCACTCAGCTACTCGCAATTTCTTGTGATATAGTGGGCGGAATATTATTATATGAGACAATTCAATGCAGACGTCTTTCCAAATTTGGCAGATCGACAGGTAATCGGTGAGTTACCACGATAGTTGCTATTCAACAACTCAACAACGTCCCATCGTCAACGCCTGCTATGAGAATTTCCCATTGCAGACGTCAACGAAATGACGTCATCGAGCTGGTTATCGCCTGGTACCTTATAGCACGATGCTAGGAGGCGAACCGGAAGAATCGATGAGCTACCTCTCCCCCTCAGATAAGTCTGATGCGTGCAGAGGCTGACAAATTCTGGTCATTACAGTAACCGGTATATGTGACTTCGCAGATCATAACTCCTGTCCGATACACACAGTTTAGCAGAAATCACAATAGTGAGTTCGTTGGAAGATCTCTTCTACACTTCCGACCACATGCAATTATGCTTACGTTTTTTCTTAATTTATGGCATCAAAATGTGTTTCACATACTGCCTTTAGATTGCTTAAAATTGAATAGATCTTCGTTTTATATTCAGTGGCGTTACCGGCTGTTTAGTGTCACGCGGTTACCAATTTAGGCAATGAACCAACACCTTTCATTCAATACTACACATTGCAATCGCATATTTAATTGTGCCAAACGCGTTATAGATGTTGGTCAACGGCAACCAATGTTTTGAATCCGGAGCTGTAAGAGCAAAGCCTAATGACGTATTTTTCTTAACTGCAAGTTATGTTCTCGCGCATACACCTGATCTGTACCCACAGTAGTGCGATTGCTGAATGATAAAAATGATTCACTCCAGCGCACCGTCAAACTACTACTCAAGCGTCCAGCTCAGTACATTGCATCGCCGTGAACACTCGTGGCGAGTGGAATCTTGCATTCTTTGTGAAGATTACCCAGAAACGAAAAGCAATCGAATTGAATGGACCCCGCTAGACTCGTCCAGTAACGAACAAGCGGATGAGTGACGATTGTTGTTTTGCCTAAAGCCGTAACTCAGCGGACGACGAGAGAATGTAAAAGAAGCGCAAACCCGAATTATCTTCGTGACAGATATATTCTCGTGCACGAGAAGAGAGCCGCTATGGCCGCTATAGAGCTTTTTGACGTTTAATAGGCCCACACTACTGCACCATTTAAATCGAACGAGTGCGAGCAAGAGGGAAACAGATTAGTGCGAAAACAAGCCGTTCATTCATCCATGTGTGCTAGATAGAGAAAGACGATTAAACGTCAAAAAGGTCTATACTGCAGCACTACTTCAGCAACAGCGAGAGGAATATATAACGAATTTTGCTTCGCTGTGAGGATCAGCAACCTTGGTGTCAAGTACCTGGAAAACCTGGAATTCTCAGGGAATTTTGAAATTCCTCTATCAAGCAAATTTCGAAGAATAGTTACTTTTACTATTTTAACATAATAATTCCGGAGTGGTTACGGTTAGTAACAACATAAATTCTTAAGCCTGAATTGTGTTTTTAAGGTTCTGGAACATGGATAATTTTTACAGATTTTAAACGACTTTTTTTTTTTTATTTTAGACTCAATGAAACTTTTTTTTTATTTTAGACTCAAAGTTTTCAAGAATCTGGAACGAAAAGAAATATTCAAGACTACGGACATAGAATAAATTCCAAGAACTCAGATTCCAAATAAATTAAAGGTCTACACAGTTAATTTTGTTTGCTGAATTTCGGCCATTTTTGCCTAGATTTGCACAGCCACGCTCCGGGCAAACATATTTTGCCGAGATCTCAGCAAAAGTGACGTGTAGTTGCTAAGTCTCGGAAATTTGTCGTCATGTTTGCTAAGATCTCTGTAGCATTTAATGCCGAGCTCTAGGCTGTGTAAATTTCGGCAAATACAACTTAGTGTGCTCCTACACACTTAGTATTGTTTTCACCAGCTCGGGAATTTTTCGCCGAGATTTGCACAGCCGAGTGGTCGGCATTAAATTTGTCTGATATTTGCAGCAAAACATTTTCTGAGACCAAACGTCACTTTTGCTGAGACCTCGGCAAAATATGTTTGACGGAAGCTCGGCTGTGCAAATCTCGGCAATCATTATTAAGTGTGTAACACAAATTTCAAAACTTATGAATCTTATGAACTTGAATTGAACATTTGATGAGAATTTCCAAGGATCTCTAGGAATAATTTCAAGGGAATTCAGAAAAGTGAAATCTGGGGATTCCTTTCAAAATAGTTCTGAGGAATTCCAAAGTGAAATGTAAGAAGAATTCCAACGTGAGTAGAATTCCAAAGGAATTCTGAGTAGAATTCAAAGTAAATTTACAAGAGAATTCGAAGGAGCAATTCCAAGGCTACACATTTAATCTAGCTCGGTAAAATCTCCACTAGCCGTTTACCTCGGCATTTACTTTTGCTGATATTTCTGCAGAATATCTGTTTGTTAGCTGATATCTCGGCAAAATGTTATTTGTTAGCTGAGTCTCGGCAAATGTTTTACTGAATCTCAGCAAAATAAATTGCAGAACTGCTCGGCTGTTGGAATCTCGGCGAAAAAAATAGGTGTATATTCCACAGAGAATTCAAAAGAGTTCTGACTTAAACTGCAAAGTAATTTTGAGGTTAATTTTCTAAGGGCTTTGTAAAAAGAACTGAAAGTGAATTCTAAGGACAACTCAAAGGTACTTGTAAGTAGAATTCCAAGAGAAAAAGGATAATCCTAAGAGAATTCTGAAAAGAATTCAAAGTAAATTCCAAAAGTACTCTTAGGAGTACATATTTTGAAATCCTGTATAAAGATCCAATTTGATTCAAACACAGCCATCTTATCGCAAAAAGAAACTAAATTCTGAGGCTTCGAAGTTTTTTTTTTATTTAATAGTTAAAGTTCGTTTGATTTTAGAAATTTAGAATTTAGAAAAATCTTCAAGATGTAAGCTTTTTGTTTTGATTTCCAGGATTTAAAAAAATGTGAGTTCCCAGATATGCGAAATGCTGTATTTAGACATGGTTATTTTTGCGATATTAAAATAAGTCAAGTGTCTGCACACATTAAACATGTCTAAGGTCTTAAGCCTTTTAGTTTTGCAAATTTTTGTATCGTATCCTTTGTAAAATTTGCAAAAATCGGACTTAGTTATACAAATCGTCGACTCCTAGAACTAGATTTCTTATCATTTGAAATATTACCAGTTTATTCAAGATTTTGCACTCCTCTATTTCTTAAATTAAATTAATACGGATTTTCTCCGTTTGTTTACATTTTGCTAGTTTCGCCCTAATTACAATTTGTCTCTGGATTTTCTAAAGGGATATTATTAAAGAAATTTTTGTTGGTCAAAATTCATTCTGGAGCTTTGCACAGAACGTCTGAAACCATCCATGCAGAACAATACAGTTCTGTCTATAAATGTTGTCTATGAAATCGTTCTCAATGAGTAAACCTAGTAAACCGTCACACTACACACTCACCTGACCATATCGATTACGCCTTTGCAGTCTTCTTCTAGTCGGGGTTGGTATATTCTTACCCGTGAAATTAGATACCCATGCGCGGTTTGGGCATATTCTCGGCATGGTTTTCCTTGCAAGGTAGATCACGTGTCAGAACACAACACCTGTTTCTTCCGTCATGTAGGTAGATCGTTGCGGGTGGCACATGTCTAGCCTAGGAATGGCTTGAGGATGGACAGCAACGTGTGCGATCTGCGTTGGTCATTCACGCATGATAATGTTGGATTCTTACTGACCGAGAATTGATATGCTATCACGTGTGACTAAACAATTGCAGCTGTATCCCGTTTCTTATGCTCCATTTTTTGCTATTCGCACCTCGGGACAAAAAGGTGGCAAGTGTGCGTGTCTGCGTTTCGACTGGCAAAACAACAACCCAAACCGGTCCGATTCGATATTTGCACAATTTGTTGACAATCGATCGGTCGATTCGCTTGCAAGCCCGCCGTCGCAGTTGAAATTTTAGACTCCTGTGCTGATCAAGAATGCTGGTCTCCCATGGAGGACGTGGGAGGGTTGGTCCGGTTTCCTTTCGATTTCTCGACAGAGCTTACCGCTGTCATTAGTGCACTTCCACTCAACGGACTCGGCAGCAGTCCATTCGCTGTGGGGGTGTGTTTTTTACTAAGAATGATTGATCGATCGTCGTCGATGTGAGCTAATCTCGGGAGCAATGCTCTTTTTGAAGATGTTCTGGTTCTACTTTCTGGAAGCAATGTATGTCGTTGTAGACGTTCCTATTGAATGAGTCGGTACTAACTTCGTTTCCTGCATTTCTTTTCTTCCACAGATTGCAGGACATTCCAGGCACCCCATCGGTGATTACACTGGTGGATCATCAGTCCAGCGAGCTCAACATTGAGTCCAAGCTGGAGGAAAACATCGAAGCTACGCTGAAAAATATCAGCCACCAGCTCCAGGCCAGTCCCGTCGATGAGCCTGAAGAGCAGCAGGCCACAATCGACCATCAGCTGCAACCACAGGAGGTACATCTCTCACAGGATGCTTCGCCACAGACCGTTCAGGAGCAAGCGGCTTCGTTGGAGGAAAAACTACAGGATACCGGAGGAGGTGAGGTCCGGAAAGAAGAACAACCGGAAATTGTTCAACAAGTCGTTCCAAATGTAACATTCGACACCCAGAATGTGAATCTTACGGAGGAAAATCAAATGCCCGTCTTTTCCGAGTGGGCCGAAAAACAGATGGCCGAAGCGGAAAAGAAACAGGGTGAAAATGTGAACGCTTCAGCGATGAAACGGAACTCGAAGCCCCCAGGCAACAAGATGCCACCGCTGAAGCTACGAGCGAAGAACTACGCTGCTCCGGATTGCGGGGCAAAGATAATCGCTTCCAATCCGGAAGCACAGAGCACCGGTTCGGTGCTGACGTCCCACAAGGACGAGTATTTGCTGAACCCGTGCACCAGCAAGATTTGGTTCGTAGTTGAACTCTGCGAACCCGTCCAAGCGGAACGGGTTGAACTGGCCAATTTCGAGTTGTTTTCATCCTCGCCAAAGGAGTTTTCAGTGTCGGTTAGTAATCGATTTCCGACTCGAGATTGGTCGAATGTTGGTCAATACACGGCCAAAGATGAACGCGACGTCCAGAGTTTCAATCTGCATCCGCACCTGTTTGGGAAGTTTGTCCGAGTGGAAATCCATTCGCACTACAATTCGGAACACTATTGTCCGGTTTCGTTGTTTCGAGTGTATGGAACGTCAGAGTTTGAGGCATTCGAAACCGACAACACGCCATCGCTGGGAGAGGACGGAGAGGATGACGAGGGCGAGTTGATCGTGGAAGGTTTGGATCTGGGCGAGGAGGATCCGGGAAGTGATGAACACTACGATGATGGTGGTGATTCGAAGAATAAGAAAGCCAATATCCTCAAGTCCGCTGGTGAAGCTGTGATGAGCATCGTTAAGAAGGCGGCCGAAGCGTTGGGAAAAACGCACGAAAATGATAGCATGCGCAATGAAACCAACGATTCTGCGATGAGCGGTGTAGATCTAAGTGTTGGTAGTAATCAATTAGGTAGTATCGTTGTTGTCCCGCCTCAGCGCCCTTTGTACTGCTTTTCGCTGGCCTTTCAGCCACTGTGTGTTAGTTGTCCACCGGAGCTCCGGAATCGTCTGGAGCGGACACTGAATTGCAAACACAATCTATTAACTAGTCTACTAAGTATCAAACTAATCAGTACGTCGTTTGACGAATCTCAGCATTTGCTATGTGCCAATTTCTTAGGGTTTAACCTGATGCGTGAACAAGTGAGTGGGAGTTACAACTTGAACAGGAGTGTTCTGAACTGGTTCCCGGCGGATATTCTAGCAGGCTTATGTAATATCCGAGCGTACGGAAAGGGGTTGATTGCAACTCAAGTAAAACATGAAGAAGTTCCTGTGGGAAAACCTGAGGGGCAAACGTCTACCGAACCTTCAGCAACAACTCAGTCGACAAAGGACGACTCACAGAATGAGACGGACGAACAGCCTGTTCTGAACGTAATTCCATCTGTTACCGCACCGATCAAAGAAGATCCCCGACCACAGTCCTCGGGAGCGCAACAGGAAGAACAGAAACCAGTTCCTCCGTCGGACGACGTGAACATGTACAATGTTGCTGGTGGTCCTCAAGATCCTGGCACCGTTGTTGATAAGAAACCGGAAGAATCTGCTGCAACTTCTTCTACGTCGTCGTCGTCGTCTACTACGACGACATCAACCACGATAGAACCGACTCCGGAAAAGGACGATTCAATTGGAGCACTGGATCAGCCCAGCAGTATGGAGGACATTGATAACTTGCTGCTGGATCAGCACATGGATGGGGCAACAGCTGGATCCGGTAGTATTCCCACAATCACGAGTACTACCACGACAACACCGACACCGGGATCGCCGCAGAAGGGGCAACCAGAAAGCGTTTTTCTGCGACTGTCGAATCGAATTAAGGTAAGTCCAGCCAATTAATAAATCGCTTCAAAGTCACACTCATGCATTCTCTTTTAGGCCCTGGAGCGCAACATGAGTCTATCCGGCCAGTACCTGGAAGAGCTGAGCCGTCGCTACCGGAAGCAGGTCGAGGAGCTGCAGCATTCCTATGCGAAGACATTGTTCGAAATCGAAGAGCAGAACCGCCGGATGCGTGAGAGCGAAGCGTTGCTCCGGGATGAAAACGTCCGGATTCGCGAGGATTTCTTTGCGTTCCGTGATAGTATTCTGAGCTGGAAAAACATCGCCATCGGATTGGGTGGATTTTTTGCCGTGCAGGTGGTCATTGTTTGTGCATTGGTACGAAGCTGTAAGGGCGGTGGAGGTCATCCGGAACAGGAAGTGGTGGCTAGCGAACTGGTACAGATTGGAAGTGAAAAGCCACCGATCAAGGGAAAGCTGCTCAGGAGGAGGTCGATCGACGGTGTTATTGGAGCTGGCGAGAAGTCAAGTGGATCGCTGAAAAAGAAGCGCCCAAGCGAAGAAGCGCTGAACATTAGTGGGACGTACGAAAATCTGTTGATCTCCGAAGAAGGTGGTGGGGACAATGCCAAAGTGGAGCGCAAGAAGAAGAACAAACAGAGGAAGATCTCTGCACCGGCTATGATCCAACAGGGCAATGGGAATGGAAAAGCGAAGAGAGCTTCTTCTGTTGAACCTCCTCCCGCTGGTAATGTCGTAAAAGTAGATCTGGTCAGGACTGAATCAGCTCCGGAACCGAGAAGACATTCGCCGGAGAAAGCTATACCGGACGAAAACAACCGCATAGAGGAACTTCCTCTGCTGGAAGATAACGATGAGTTCATCATCCCCACTGCGATGGATCTATCCTACAACGAGTTCGTTCCGGACTCGACGTCCGAAACCGTTCATCAAACGAATGGGATGGTCTCATCATCCTCTTCCATCGATTCAAAATCAACGAACAAATCCGGTGGCAAAGGGCGACGGCTATCGTCGCCGGCATTTTTCAAATCGTCACTACTGCGGTCAAGCCGCAAATCCTCCGGAAAGAAGTCCACACCCAGCCAAAATGTAAGCAGTGCCAGCAGCAGCAACACCAGTAGCACCGGTAGTACCAATGTTAGAATCAACATTAATCTTAACAACGCGAGTCGAACGGAAGACGAGCTGTCTTCGCTTCCCGCTGATGATCAGCTCCTTACCACTTCAACGTCGGCTACCCCCGCCAACAACAACCAGCATGCCTGGGAGTGGTACAAGCTCAAGAAGTCCTCTAGTCAAGACAAATTTACCAAACGCAAATCGAAGTCGGAAAGCCCGGAACCGGAAGCCGCTCACCATAACGGGATCGGATCGGAAAGAATACGGTCGTCGGTTTCCTTCAATGGGAGCACGGGCTCGAGCGAGAAGAAAATCGGCAATGCCGGCGGGGGCGGCAGCTTTCGCCGGCTGTTCCGTAAGGTGTTCTAGTTTTGTCAGTGCACCGCCGGCGTGATAGACGGCGGCGACCAAGCAAGCAAGAAGCAGGCGAGCAAGTGTTCATGAGAATTCATCTCGGATTGATTGCCACATAGCTGCTGACGATGGGGGAAGGAGTTGTTCCTTAAAATTCAATAGACTGATCGGACTAAGCGAGGGGGCGAAACACATTATTAAATGGAAAGCTTTAAAAGCGCGTTTGACTGCGATGGGAGAGGATGGGATGCCTGGGATGCGTATATCGGGTGACCGACGGGTGTGAACGATATTATTATACGACAACACAATAATACACACTGCTAACTGTAGTAACTGTTCGTTTTTAATGTGAAGTAATTGTATAGGAAAGGCATGCATTATATTGGAATATAGCTATTATCTGAATTTCTTTGAACAAAACAAGTACGTACGTTTCAATTGACTATAGAGTAAGTCCTCGTAGAATGTATGGCAATTGGTGGATGTTCGAAGAGGGAAGGCGGGGAGGTCGTTCTGATGTTTTGTGGCTCGAGGTGGATGTTTCTGATGCATTATTTGTAAACGTAAAGAAGGTAGGTGAGAATGAAAATGAAAACTGGCTTGTTCTAACAAGGATTTCTACCTCCACCTGAGCAAATCCATGCCAAATAACGAAAAAAATAACGAATTGTAGATTTTACCCCTTAGAATTCATGAAATTTTGCATCATTGTTCGCTAGGAGCAATAAACCAAGTTTGTGTAGGAATTCAGCCATTTGGACTCGGGCCTTATTTTTCAAAAAATCATTGCCCGAAATGGCTCAACTAATCGAAATGACGTCTGAGACAAAGTTGCAAGAAACTTGATCACCTTTTCAGAAAAAAAATCACATAAATTGGTCAAAAAATTGTTAACACAAATTCAATAGCTAAAATAGTGCATTTATGTTTATTTGAAAGCTTATAAAAAACGCAAACTTTTCTGCTATAGGACACAATGGAAACTTTTAAAGAGGCAAACGTCTACTTCTAGAAAAAAATAGATTTTTTTTCGCATCGTAAAACAAATCTAAAAACTTCATATATTTTCAATATTTTTTTAGCATATTCTTAAGGTGCATACTGTTATTGTACCCATTTTACTTAATAATTCCGGAGTGGATTAATCATCAGTAACAACATAAATGTTGAAAACTCTGGGGCTTGAACTGGTATTTTGAAATGGAATATTTTTTTTTTAAAGTTCTTCAAATTGGCAATTTTACGAAATCGTGGATTGAAAAAAAAAAACTTGACGAAATTGTATAGACTCTGGAACGAATATAAATATAAAATTTCCCAAGGAACAATCAATATCTCGAACATTAGGCATTTTAAAAGCTCCCAGATTTGAAAATAGCCCAGATTAACGAAAGTTTTCAAGATCCAAGAATATTGATGAATTAGTTTGTCAAGGAACTCTAGCGAATTTCACTGGAGTTCGGAGGAGAATTCCAAGTGAGTTTAGAAGAATTGGGAACAACATGGCAGATGAAATCTAATGATTACTTTTATGGTAGTTCTGAAGAGTTCTGAGGGTTCAGATTCCAGGTGAAACCTAAGTAGAATTCCAAAGTAGTACAGAGTAGAATTTCGAGGCAAGTATAAATAGGATTCAAATGGAATTTCAATGAAAATACATACCTATAATAATTTGATGAGGAAACTTGGAAGAGAATTCATAGGACAATTTAAGGACAATTTTGCTGAGAATTCCAAGAGAATTCGGATGAAAATTTTAAGAAATTTCTGGAAGCAGGGAATAGACTTCCGATGAATACTTAGAGTATGCTAAGGACTAGGAAGATTACAACTAAATGTGAGAATAATTGCAGGATAATTTCAAAGGATTACGGAGAAGAATTACGAAAATAATTCTGGCTAGAATTCCTAACTAATTTTAAGGAAAATTCAAGGCATTTCAAGGGAACTAGGCGAATTCAATGGGAATTCCGTGATGTAATCAATGAAAATTCCAAGGATAATTCCAATTCTTAGGAATATTGCAAACGAGCTCTGAGGACACTTTCGATGGAATTTCTATAAAAATTCCAAGGGAATTGAATTGAGAGGATAAATCTTGATGAATGCTGGCATTTATTGAGGAACTTCACTTCTGTACTATTGTAGTCTAGTCGAATATTAGCGCAACCCACAGAAGAAGTTTGGGCATTGTAGTCGAAAAACGCATGTATGTCATTGGATAAGCAATTAGTTGAATAAAATGAAAATTACTAATCCTTATCTTTTTTCTTAATTCCGAGGGTTCCTACAAAATTTTAAAGTAAAATTCCCAGGAGCTTGCAGGGAATTCTGAAGTGTATTTCAAGGAAATTATGCGGAGCATTTAAAGAACTTAATGTGACCACTGTAAGAGAATTTTGAGCAGCAATCAGAGGGAGTTACGGGGATAATGTCAAGGGAACTTCGGGAAAATACTTAGCGAATGCTGAAGTGGATTCCAAGAGCATTTTCAGGGAAAATTTGCGGGGAATGCCTCATTTTTTACGACAGTTATTACGAATTTCAAGAAAATTGCAGAGTGAATTCAAAGATTGTTCTTCAGTACAGTACCGTCAGCACCAAACCGTAGTGTTGAACTTAATTCTCCTATACCAGGGGAACAGTTTAAAGAGGCGTTAATAGATGGAAGCACGGAAGCAAACCGTAGTGCGCTAGTCGGACTAGTGACTTCCAATGTATTTATCGAAAAATGTTGCTTTGATTTTCATAAGCTATGCACAATCGAGCAAATAGAAGGATACCAGAGAGAGAGAGAGAGTTCTAAAATGAACTATGCGAATAGGGAAGAACCAGCCAAATTGCCAAGTCTATAGGGTGTCCCAGAAAGTATAAGCACATTTGGAATAACACAACGTTATGTTAATGAACTTTTTAATTTTTATTTAATATTTAACCCCTTGCTTTGGTCAACCAGTCCAAGTTTTAAAAAACAAGACAATGTTAGTCCACTCGAGGATAAAGACTAACTGGATCTTTATTCCAAATTATTATAAGGTGAATCCTATCTAAAGCTCTATCGATCTGCTGAGTAAGAATTTACAGGAATACGGTCGACGTGTTGCTACTGCATAGGCAATGAATTCAGTGCTAACATTTGAAAACGGCGCAAAAGCCATTTGTAAACAAATGGTTTGTGGGCCCTTTACTCGCTACCCGAAGAACGCCCGTGTCCTGTTCCTTTGTAGTCGCTGTGTTTAATTTTAGTGCCGTCATTCGTCTATTTCCGTGTCCTTGTACGTGCTTTGCTTGGTTCAATATCTTCGTTCATCCATAGAGGTAACTCTAAGACTAGAAGGTCCCGAAATAACGTGTTCAACTTTTTGGCTCAGCTCTGGTACTCTCTTCGGTCCCAAGCTAATCGATTCACCCCTCGAAACATAGGAAAAACGAATAACCCCTCATTTTATCTGTCAAACTTTCATAGCGAATCAAAACAAACATTGCGTAGTACTAGAATTTCGACTAGAATGGGATACGTTAATCGTTTGCTTGGGACCAATAGGCTAGTCAAGTAGTGAGCCAATTTAAAATCGTTAGTTTCGTATTGATTGTTGGTTCATCCGTGTCCGAGTCAGTATTTGTAGCCGAGGTATAGTTTTGAGTCCGAATCATTGTCCGTTGTCGTTGCTTGGGTGTTTAAATTTGATTAATCAGACCTGCTTCCTGAAGGAAGCAGAATAGTGCAGCGATGCTGGATGGGTCATCCTTCAGGGTATCCCTGATGCTACCTGAGATCCCGTAAAGGGAACGGGGTCCGTGGTACTGGGGGCATTCGCATAAGAAATGCTCCACTGTAAGTGGAACATTGCATGTCTCGCACTGCTGTCTGAATCCGCCTCCGCCTCCCATATTGTGGGAGACTTTGGTATGTCCGGTTCTCAACAGAGATAGAATGACTTGAAGTCGGTGTTCAGGTGGATCCTCCCATTTCCTGGTATCCCCTTTTACCTTCCGGATAAATAAGTCTCGAGATCGCATCCATTCGTTAGTCCAGCAGTTCCATATAGTGATTGTGATCCACCGCTTTATGTCCTGGGCCGGAACCTTTCTGGTGTAAAAGTTGGACTGTCTTCCGGATGCCGCCAGGTGGTCGGCTTCCTCATTACCTCTGCTGATCCCACAGTCTCCGGGGACCCAGACAAAGGTTGTTCCCTTAGGTGCGAACTGCTGGATACCCTGGATTCAGGGGTGTTTAGCTGTTTCAGACTGGAGAGCTGCTCAAACACTTGCAGAGTCGGAGAGTATGACCATAGAGGTAACTCTAAGACCACTGGGTCCCGAAGAAAATCATTATTATTTTTGGCTCACTCAGTACCAGAACAACGGTCCCAAGCAGTCCCAAGCTATTTCACTCACCCCTGCATGTTCTGCATGAATCCACACACCCCTGATGTTATCTGTCAAACTTTCATAGCGAATCAAAACAAACATAGTGTAGTAATAGAATTTCAACTAGAATAGGGTACGTTAATCGTTTGCTTGGGACCAATAGGCTACTAAAGTGGTGAGTCAATTTAAAATCGTTAGTTTCGTATTGATTGTTGGTATGACGATCGGTTTGATCGAGGGTAGGGTGACAGCTACGAGAATGGCGGCTGCTTCAGCAGTGAAAACGCTGCATGGTTCTGGTAGTCGGTAAAAGGTGCACAGCTCCGGATCGGAAATTCCAATACCAACTCTACCGCCACTTCGGGATCCGTCGGTGTATCGTACTTGATGATTGTTGTATTTGGTTCGATGTAATTCGGCTACTGTTCTCACTAGCGCAGGGGAGTTGGTTCCCGCCCGGAAACTGTTCTTTATCGCCGGATCGATGGACAGACCGGGTGAGTTCCAACCTCTGGCTCCACACCAGTGGACCCTGGCTACAGGGGGGAGCTCCAGGTTAGCGGTATTATTCAGGAGATCGTCGCCTCCATGAGGAGGGACACTCCGTCACTTGTCCCTGTAGTCTTTTCTGCAAAGCCAATCGCTTTCTTGCAAACAGATGCGACAATGTACTTTTCAAATGGCAGCCTTCCACTCTCCACGCAGGCTGCCAACCTGGGGGTGGATGGGAGGAGACCTGATGTGACCCTAATGGCCTGATAATACACTGGATCCAGTTTGTAAATCAACCTATCAGCAGCCAGGCAAGTCAGTTCTAAACCGTAGGTCAGTCTGGAATCAACTACCGCTTTTGCTACACGCATACGAATAGCACGGTTGTTCATTA